GGTAGACCAATGGAATCGAATTGAAAATCCTGATATTAATCCACGCACCTATGAACACCTGATTTTCAACAAAACAGCTAAAATTATACAATGGGGCAAGGACAGCATCTTCAACAAATGGTGCTGGCACAATTGGATGAGGGTGTGTAGAAGACTGCAGATAGACCCATGTCTGTTTTCATGCACAAAACTCAAGTCCAAATGGATCAAAGACCTCAACATCAATCCAGCCACATTGAACCTCTCAGAAGAGAAAGTAGGAGGTACCCTTAAACAAATTGGTATAGGTGACCGCTTCCTGAACATCACTCCAGGGGCACAGACCTGAGAGAAACAATTAATAAATGGGACTTCTTCAAACTTAGAAGCGTCTGTAAAGCAAAGGACACAGTGGACGAGACCAAACGGCAGCCCACAGACTGGGAAAAGATTTTCACCAATCCTATATCCGACAAAGGGCTGATCTCCAAAATATACAAATAACTCAAGAAACTAGGCAACAAAACACCAAATAACCCTATTAAAAAATGGGGTACAGAACTGAAGAAAGAATTCTCAATGGAGGAAATCAAAAAGGCTGAAAGACACTTAAGAAAATGCTCCACATCGAAACAACTTTGAGATATCACCTTACTCCTGCCAGACTGGCTAAAATTAGAAACACCAATGATGACTTATGTTGGAGAGGATGTGGAGAAAGTGGAACACTCCTCCACTGCTGGTGGGAGTGCAAACTCATACAGCCATTTTGGAGATCAGTATGGTGGTTCCTCAGGAAAATGGGAATTAGTTTACCACAGGACCTGGCAATCCCCCTCTTAGGCATAAACCCAAATGATCCACATCCATGCAACAAAGACTATGTTCATAGCAGCATTTGTATTTGTATTTGTAATAGCAAGAACCTGGAAGCAACCTAGATGCCCCTCAATTGAAGAATGGATAATGAAGATGTGGCACATCTACACAATGGAATACTACTCTGCAGAAAAAAAATAATGGTATCTTGAAATTCGCAGGCAAGTGGATAGCACTTGAAGAAACCATCCTGAATGAGGTAACCCAGTCACAAAAAGAGGAACATAGTATGTACTCACTCATATATGGATTTTAAACCTAGACCAAAGGATCACACCACCAGAGTAACTAGGATACAAGGTGTATTCTAAGAGATTCATATAAAGTCCCTCCCAGAACCAGGAAGAGACAAGTCCCCCAGAGCACAGGGGAAGTGGGGGGGCAGCGAATTGAGAGAGAAGTAGGAGAAAATGAGGGGGAGGAAAGGAAAACACGTGCGACCAGGGAGATTGAGCCTGGTTAGGAATAAAAGACAGGAGAGAGAGAGAGAGAGAGAGAGAGAGAGAGAGAGAGAGAGAGAGAGAGAGAGAGAACATAAAAGAGGGAGCCAATATTGGTTTGAAGATAAAACTGAACACAAAGAAAGGTCTAGAGAATTACAAGACTGCTGCCCACTAACAATTTGAGCTTCAGTGGAAAGGCTACCATAAATGCCCTTCCTGGATAGTGAGATCAATAACTAACTTATCCATGGAACCCTTATCTAATGCTTGTTGGAAACAGGAGCAAACACTCATACATAAACACTGAGTCGAACTAGAACCCAGATGCAGATGGAGAGGACAAGACCATGTGGCAGAAACACATACAGACAGCTTACCTGAACAAGGAGGAGCTAACAGGCCACCAGACTGATAGCTGGGAAGCCAACAGGGGATTGACTCAGGCCCCCGGAGTATGGGTCTCAGCCAGAAGGACTGAGCAGTCTAAGGGACCTCAGACAGTGGAGCCAGGATGTATCCCTGGTGCACAAAAGGACTTTGCAAACACATCCCCCATGGAGGGAAAACTGCCTTAATCTAGAGACAGGAGAGAAGCCCTAGTCCCTACTTCACATGACCTGTCAGATCTACATGACCCCAACTGGATGGCATTCCCCTACATATGTAATTGGGGTGGGGGATGGGAGGTGAGTGTTAGGGTGCATGTGAGAGGGCAGAGAGGGTAAAAGGGAGGGAGGGAGGGAGAGGGAACTGGGATCGACATGTAAAATGATAAATTAAAAACCAAATGCTCTGACTCAAAAATTTAAGTTCAAGGACTAATTACTGGGGAAAAGGATTTCTATTTTTGTTGCCACAGAAAATGAAAAGCTGTGGATTCCTTCCAGACTAATGTGGTTTGATCAAGCCAGACCGCCTGAAACAGAGTACCAAGGGATCCTACATTCAAAACAGCTGGACAAAGCAGCCTTGCAGACTACAGCTAGGATTTCTGCATCTTCTTAGAATCCCCCATGACAGCGCCCCTTACCAGCAGGAAATAGTTTGGAAAGAATGATGCCCAAATTCCCAAAGATTGTCTGTAAATGTTTCTTTTCATTTAAATGGACTTGGTTATATAAAATAAATAAATAAATAAATATTAATGGTTCATTACAAAAAATTAAAAAATTAAACAAATGTGGTCAAGTCTCTTGATCTTATTTGTAAACTGCTAGTTTGCCTTATGTTCCATTTTAAATCTATTATGAGGTTTCCTGTATGCTACAAGTTGATTCTGCCATATTTCCCTACATAGAAGAATTTTCCTAGCTGACCAGGTACCCATTGTGCTTTCATCCTTCCAGTACTACAATCACAACCTTTGAAACTGTACTACAGTTCTCAGATTATCTAGAGTTGTTATTTCATACTTTATATAGTTTCTCCATTTAGTGTCTTTTGTTGCTCTAATTTTGGGCTCACAAATTCTTTTTTCAACCATCTCCAGATTCTTAAGACACACATCAAGAGCACCCTTCATTCTTCTTGCAGCATTTATGTTTGTTTGTTTGGGGTCATAGTCTCATATAGGCTTGCCTCAAACTTACTAAATAGTTCAGGTTGTCCTTGAACTCCTGATTCTCCTACTACTACCTCCTGATCTCCTACTACTACCTCCTGAATGCTGTATTTATAAATTTACCCCACACGGGTTACTTTTATTTCTTTTTAAAGATTATTCAAATATGTGCTTACATTGATCATTTGCTCTTCTATGTTATATATATATTTGCCACTAAAGCCCCTGGCATGTATTAGAACCCTCAATTTAAGAGTCCCCTGCAGTTTAAAGCTCTAGCAACTTTTGTCATAAGCTGGTCTGTATTTCTAAATTCATCTTCTATGATGACATTTCACCCTCAATCCCGTTTTTATGAGTACAAAATAGTCATTGATTTTTAATTTGTTCATCTTTTTGTGATAAAGACAAAAGCAGTGCTTCCTGCTCTGTACAGTGCTCAACGTGGAAGCAGAAGTACACTGAATCTCTCCTACTGACTTAAATTTGCAATGATATAAGAAAGTGGAATGAACATATTGTTCGTTGTTAAACCTGTGACAAATCTGCACGAGGCAGCAGATACTCAAGACCCATGAGGCTGAGGAGTGCTAGTGTTGAGTCAACAGAAAGGGGTAAACTGTCTCACAAATAAGGATACTGAACATGTTTGTTAATCAGTGGAACTGATAAACATTAATGTGTAATAAGTACACAAATATTGTAAGAGATGGTATAACTCAAAATATCAATGGTATTTTGCAGTGTTTAATGTGTGCACCTTTATTCTCAAAGGAAATTATAGCCCTAGTTGGACATAGCAAGTTATTATTCAAATGCTTATATAAAACTTAAAAGGGAAACTTATAAACCCTTGCTAACAATTGTACCAGAATACCCAGTTAATATGTTTGCTCATTCCTTAACACAAGATTTGATGGAGCTGCCTGGAGTGTGTCAGAAAGCATCCTGGAACATGCCAAGAGCACAGGAGAAATACATCTTAACCTAGCTCGTTGCAGCTTTAATTACTCAACATGACTTTCTTAGTGTTAGAGTCAGAGTCAGGAGGCAAGGACAACGGTTAATGAGAGAAAACTCTGTCACAGCAACAGCTCAACTATATGGTATGGTTTGTGTGTTACTTTTTATAATTTCTGGTGGTAGGTGAAGAAATGAAGTAGATAGTAGGGAGCAAAGTATTATTGCCTTCAACCTTGGGTGTGTTCCTGGTGGGGCAGTCATAACAGCAGGCTGCTTAAGAGAGAAAAACTACTTAACAATTGTGAGTGAGGGTCTATGAGTCAATAGAGGAAAGCTTGTCATGATTATAGTTGATGGAGAGTAGGAGAGGGCAGTCATGTAGAGGTGTGGTTGGACAAAGGGGCTGTGGCCTAATAGTTAATTGGGAGACTGAGGTTGTGTTATAGTCTGCTTTAGGAAAGGAGGGTTCCCGTGGCTTACTCAAATGCCAAGAGAAGAACTTCCTAAACGCTTTTGGTTTCTGTGGCTTACTCAAATGCCAAGGGAGGAACTTCCCAAACAGCCATAAACACGAAGAGGAAACACAAACAGGCAAAAACAGACAGCCATAGTTCCTTTCTCCCTTTCTTCTTAGCTTAAAGCCTAGGGCTGCATAGGGAGCAGAGGTGAGCCCAGAGCAAGGGCAAACAGTTTTTCCAAGCATGTGTGGGCTGGGTGTTTTCCCTGAGGTTGAAGACAGAACAAACACCACAAAAGTATGTTTCCCCGGTTTGCTCCAAGACTTTTAGTTTATCCTAAAAGAGAACATAAGTGTATTTGCATTGAGGGTCCAGAGGTGACCATGTGACAGACAACCCCATAATATCAGATTCTCCCAGGAATAAAAACCTACGTATGCTTTTTCTAAATCAGCATACTCTCTGAGAGACATCACTTCTTCACAGTATTATTGTGTGTGTGAGAGAGAAAGAGATAGAGACAGACAGAGAGAGAGAGAGAAAGAGAGAGATTATCACTAAGATATGTAGTCACTGGGTTTTGGTTTTACAAATCTGATTATAGCTAAATGTATTTTGTGCCTCTCTTTTACTCAACATTTAGTCCAATTTATTTGAGTAGCTTTTGAGAGTATAGATTTCTCATTTAAAATTTTTCCTTTTTTGAAAATGTCATGCATGGTTTTTCTGGTGGTGGCGCAGTGCACAGCTATGCTGTCCAAGAGTCAGTTGCAGTCGGTGCTGGTCTTCGGACCCAAGAAGACAGCCAACAGCCTTGGTGCACTGCAAACTGGAAACAGGCTCATCAAGGTGAACAGACATGCCCTGGAGATGATCGAGCCGCACACTCCTCAGTGCTGCTGGGCAAAGAGCGATTTGCCTTGGAGTGGATATCTGAGTCTGTGTGAAGGGTAGTGGTCATGTGGTCCAGATTTATGCTTTCTGACAGTCCACCTCCAAAAATCTGGTGGCTTATCACCAGAAGTATGCAGATGAGTCTTCTAGGGAGATCAAAGATAACCTCATCCAGTATGATCAGACCCTGCTTGTAGCTGATCCTTGTCGCTGTGAGTCCCAAAAGTTCAGAGGTCCTTGAGCTCATGCTCAATACCAGAAATCCTACTGGTGAGCCCATATCAAGGATAAGGGTTACCTTTGTGATAAATATCCTAGGGCATAAATTAAAAAGAAAAGAAAATGCCATGCATGTATACAATATATCTTGATCGTAACTACCCCTCCTGCCTTCCAACACTCCCTGGGCAAATGGTTCTTAAATTCCTTATACTAAGACACTTTAATACAATTCCTTATGTTGTATTGATCCCCAACCATAAAATTATTTTCATTACCACTTCATGACTCTAATTTTACTACTGTTGTGAATTGCAACATAAATATCTGATATGCATCTTGGTGAAAATGTCATTTAATCCCCAAATGATGAGATACACTACATTAGACCCCTTAACACCAACATGTTTCCCTCCCAACTTTACCTCCTCTTTTCAAGTTTATTTTTGTGTTGTGAGGTTTATAGTTGTGTGATTTATCACAGTTCATTATTTGAGTTTGGATATCAGTATGGCGGTTCCTCAGGGAAATGGGAATAAGTCTACCACAGGGCCCGGCAATCCTCCTCTTAGGCATATACCCACATAATCTATATACATGCAACAAAGACATGTGCTCAACTATGTTTGTAGCAGCATTATTTGTAATAGCAAGAACCTAGAAGCAACCGAGATGCCCCTCAACTGAAGAATGGATAAAGAAGATGTGGCACATTTACACAATGGAATACTACTCTGCAGAAAAAAAAACAATGGAATCTTGAAATTTGCAGGCAAGTGGATGACTTGAAGAAACCATCCTGAATGAGGTAACCCAGTTACAAAAAGACGACCATGGTATGTGCTCGCTCATATATAGATTTTAGACATAGAGCAAAGGATCACCAGCCTATAATGCCTATAATTCACACTGCCAGAGAAACTAGGATACAAGGAGGATTCTAAGAGATTCATACAAGGTCCCTCACAGAAGGGGAAAGGGACAAGATCTCCTGAGTATATTGGGAGTGTGGGAGGGGGCAGAGAGTGGAAAGGGAACTAGGAGAAAGAGAAGGGGAGGAGAGAAAAGCACGTGGGTCTAGGAAGATTGAGTCAGGGGAGGAATAGAAGACAGGAGAGAGAGAGAGAAAGAGAGAGTGAGAGAGAGAGAGAGAGAGAGAGAGAGAGAGAGAGAGAGAGAGAGAGAACGAACATAAAAGAGGGAGCCATTATTGGTTTAGAAGAGAAAACTGAACCTAAAGAAATGTCTAGAGACCTACAAGACTGCCGCCAACTAACAATTTCAGCATCCTTGGAAAGGCTACCATAAATGCCCTTCCCGGATAGTGAGATCAACAACTAACTTATCCACCATCATGGAGCCCTCATCTAGTACCTGTTGGAAACAGAAGCAAACACCCATAATTAAACACTGAGTCGAACTAGAATCCAGATGCAAAGGGAGATGACAAGACCAGGTTGCAGAAACACATAGAGACAGCTGACCTGAACAAGGAGGAACTAATGGGCCCCCCAGACTGATAGCTGGGAAGCCAGCATGGGACTGACTCAGGCCCCCCTGAGTATGGGTCTCAGCTAGAAGGACTGAGCAGTCTAAGGGACCTCAGACGGTGGAACCAGGATGTATCCCTGGTGCACAAAATGACCTTGCTAACACATCCCCCATGGAGGGATAACTGCCTTAATCTAGAGACAGGAGAGAAGTCCTAGTTCCTACTTCAAATGACTTGACAGATTTAGATAACCCCTCCTGGAGGGCATCACCCTACAAGTGGAATATGGGGGTGAGTGGGAGGGGAGGGTGGTAGGGGGCCATGAAAGGGTGGGAGAGAGGGAAAGACAGAGGGAGGGAGAGGGAACTGGGATCGATATGTAAAATAAAAATAAAAAATAATAAACATTTAAAAAGTTTCATACAACATGCATTTTTTAAAATCACCACTCCCTCCATTCCTCACAAATTATCTTCTCCTTCCCTCCCCATCCAACTTTGTGTCCTTAATTTTTTAATCCATTGAAACCAATTTATGTTGCTCAAATATTCTTGTATGCATGGTCTTTCACTGGAGCATTGTCTGATTACCAGAAACAAAACCCTTAGAGAAACCACCCCCCCTCCCAGCAACTAACAATTGCCAATAGCTTCACAGCAAGTGGTGGGATTTCAAGATTGAATTTCACCCCCAAGCTGGGATTTGATCTGGATTGGGCTTGTGCAGGTTTTGTCTGTGCTGTTTCAATTACTATGACACCATATGCGTTGCTGTACTTCTGTATCCAGAAGGCAGTGTCTCTTTGTAATCATCTTGAACCTCTACCTTTTATACTCCTGCTTTTTCTTCTGCCGTGATTTATGAGCCTTGGGAAGAGGGGTACAGTATATATTTTCCATTTAGGACTGAGCATTGTAAAGTCTCTTATTTTCTGCACAATAGTGGGTCACTGTATTAATTGCTATATACTGCAAATAGAAGTTTATCAGACGAATGTAGAGAGATGCATTGATTTATAAGTATATCAATAAAACATTAGGATTCACTTAGATACTATGTTCACTTAGTAGACTAATTGTAATACACACTTTCCTGTAACATATTACCTGTCTAGCCACAAATTCTTGGCCTGCAAATGGTGCCATGTATGAGTTTCTTATTGTGGTCTTAAATTCAACTGGAGTGGTTGTTTACACCTATGAAGTTTGTGCCACTACTGCACCAGTGATCATGTCTTGTCAGGCCACTCATCATTGTTGCTTGAAGGATTCACACCTGAATATGACTGATAATTACTTTTCTACTCTAGTAGCTTACATAGTATCTTCCAGCTCCATGAAAGCTAACCATTACGGATAAAGCTTCCAGATACACACCATTTTTATTTCATCATGCTTTGACTTAGGTATGTGGTTTCTTCAACAGTAAGGTCTTGTAGTCAAGTTCTGAAGGGTAAATAAGAGCAATGGCAGTAACTTGTGATGTTTGGGTGTCTATGGAAACTCAATGATCAACAACTTCCCCTCTCTAAAGTAATTTATTGTTGACACTGGGCTTTTTGTTTTGTTAACTTCTAGTGTCTAATAAAGATATTGTTGCATTGTTGCCCTGTTTTAGGGTAATGTCACCTCTCTCTGTCTGTCTATATATATATATATATGTGTGTGTGTGTGTGTGTGTGTGTGTGTGTGTGTGTGTGTGTCTGTGTGTGTATGTGTAAGATTCTACAATAGGAAATTTCCATATATCTTTTTTTAATTCCTCTTGACTCTGTGGATTTCACATCATGCATTCTGATTGCATTTATTTTTGAAAAGGTCTTTAGTGTAATTCCCTATACTCCATTTTCTAAACTAACCTCTGCTTCCTCACCTCAGTTTAACCCTACCTGCTCCATATTTCCCTTTAACCTTTTACCAGTCTTCTCTAGGAAAAAAAACCCTCCCCTAAATTCTCTTTGCAGACCCCAATGAAACACACACATCTGAAGACTCAAAGCTAACGTCCATAAGGGAGAGGATGTAGTAATGATTCTAGTTATAGAATTTGTGTGTTCCTTATAGTAAAATGAATTTGGGTAAGTAATATTTACCAAAAGTCACATAGTGAAAATTAAGGTTTAAATGTAGACCTGGATAACGTCAAAGTACATTTCTATTTTCTCATTTCTCTCTTGTATATAAATGTCTTCTATCATTTTAGATATATTTTCTTTGACAATGATACCAGAGGAATCCTTTTAAGGTTGTATTGTATTGATAGAAAAACAGCAAGGATTTGTAGTTAGATATTCAGCATAGATATTTTTAATCAGTAAGATTTTGTGGGGTTAGTGATTTAGCTCTAACTTAGCAAATACAGACCCCCGAGTTTGGTTCTCAGCACTAAAAGAATGTACTTAATTTTGAATACCATATAAGGTAAGATCAACTGTAATAAAGATAAGTAAATGAACTGAGTTGTAAATAAGTGGATGATTTTTTATTAAGATATCATAAACACCATTGATGTTTACATTATGAGAATAGACCCACAACCTACCCCACTATTTTAATACAATGTTTATGGTTGCCGATTTTATTTAGAGGGAATTTGAATTGTTTTATTCCATTTGCTACAGTTTGAGAATTTTTACTTTTTGAAAGTTTTCTGCTCTTAATCACAGAATTTATTTTTGTTGCTTCACTACTAACAATAAACATTAAGTATTAGTTTTTTTTAGAATGCAAAAATATAATGTGGGGATTGTTTTCTTAAAGCAGCATTAAAACTAAATGGCAAATGGGTAATATGGTTTTTATATTTTTAAAATATTTATTAGGCATTTCCTAGAGGGAACGTTCAGGAAAAAAATGTCTCAAATGGATCTGAACATGATAAAAATACATCATGTATACATAAGAAAATTTCATAATGAAACCAGCTATTAATGTGTAATGAATATGTAATAAGAAAGTGTTCCAATCTGAATAACTAGACTGTTTTAGTTTACCATTATGTATTGTATCTAAATGGGAAAGAATTCATGAATGCAAATGGTAAAGAGCTGAAATGTAATGCTGAAGATAAAGCTATCCACTGCAAATCTCATCATCCTGAAAGAGTTATAAGCCTCCACACATCAGACTGTATATGTAGACAACAGATTTTTCTTCTGAGTAACTGAATCCAATACCCAGTTGGATAACAGGATTGTATAACACAATGCAAGCCAATGTTAACACAATTTACTGATTACACAACACTTAACAGACATCTTGCTATATGTTGTCTAGGTAACAACTAAGGTATAGACAATCATATTCTAAACGATAAGTGTCTATCCAAGTATATTTTATATGCAGTCATGCACTTTGAATAAAATAGCTGTTTCCATTTTGAAGAAGCAGGTGCGGTATACATCATAGACTAATTTCTGTAATGGATATGTAAGTAATAAAGAAGAAATTGGAAGAAAAATAGTTTTGCATTTTTAAAATTAAAAAAAGAAAAAAATCACCCAAGCTTCTAAACAATCCACTTTTTCAGTA